GGGTCGACCCCATGGGGCTGGGGATGACCCTATGGGGTTGAGAGGCGATCCTATGGAATGGGGATGATCCTATGGGATGTTTATGACTGTATGGGGTGAGGTCGACCCTATGGGGCCGGGGTCAATCCTATAGGGCCGGGGTTGACCCTATGGGACTGGGGTCGACCCTACGGAGCCGGGGTCGACCCTACGGAGCCGGGTCGACCCTATGAGGCTTGGGATGACTCTATGGGGTTGGGAGGCGATCGTATGGGGTGTGGTCGACCCTATGGGGCCGGGGATGACTTTATGGGGCTGGGGTTGATCCTATGGGACTGGGGTCGACCCTATGGGGCCGGGGATGACTTTATGGGGCCGGGGTCGACCCTATGGGGCCGGGGTCAATCTTATGGGGCTGGGGTTGATCCTATAGGGCCGGGGTTGACCCTATGGGGTTGGGCTCGACCCCACAGGCCCAGCAGGAGACGCAGAGGGCTGCTCTGAGGTACGAGCGGGCGGTCAGCATGCACAACGCCGCCAGGGAAATGGTTTTCGTGGCCGAGCAGGGCGTCATGGCCGACCGAAACCGCCTGGACCCAACGTGGCAGGAGATGCTCAACCACGCCACCGCCAAGGTGGGGGGGGGATGGGGGGATTGGGGGTGGGGGATATGGGGTTGGGGTTTGGGGGTGGCCGCTGGGGGGAGGTGGTGGCCATGGGGGTGAGGTGGTGGCTGTGGGGTCAAGATGGCGGCCATGGGGTCAAGATGGCGGCCATGGGATTGAGGTGGTGGCCATGGGGTCAAGATGGCGGCCGTGGGGTCAAGATGGCGGCCGTGGGGATGAGATGGTGGCCGTGGGGATGAGGCGGTGGCCATGGGGACAAGATGGTGGGCATTGGGATGAGGTGGTGGGCATTGGGATGAGGTGGTGGCCATGGGCTCAAGATGGTGGCCGTGGGGTCAAGATGGTGGCCGTGGGGTCAAAATGGCGGCTGTGGGGATGAGGTGGTGGCCATGGGGATGAGGTGGTGGCCATGGGGACAAGATGGCAGCCGTGGGGATGAGGTGGTGGCCGTGGGGTCAAGATGGCGGCCATGG